CATCAATGATCGCATTGCAGCAGCTGCACTGAGCGGCATAGCAGAATGCATCTTAAATAGCTATCTCACATCAGAATGGTCTCCCAGGAGGATCCAGAGCAAATAGGGACTGTTTTACTCACCTATAATAGGGGTATTAGATTCCAGCATGGTGTAGTGGTTTGAGCATTGGACTATGACTCTGGAGACCAGGGTTTGAACCTTGGCTCAGCCATGCAAACCCACTGGGTGACCCTGGGCAGGTCACATTCTCTCAGTCTCAGAGGATGACAATGGCAACTCTCCCCCCCGATGAAACCTGCCAAGAAAACCCCATGATAGGTTCACCTTATGGTTGCCATAAGTCAGAAAGGACTTGAAGGCACACAACAACAACAAGAGAGGTATACCTTGGGTTTGGCACTGAATGGGCCAAACATCATCCAGTCTGTTCATGCCAGAATCAGGGACTGGGCCTTGAGTCATCCGGACTCTGCACCAAGAGAATGGGGAGGATGGTTTATTTGGCCTGTGTAGACAAGGCCTTAGTGGCTGCTCCCAAATTGTGGAATTCACTCACCTCCCTGTTTGTTCTCTTTCCAGTGGCAGACAAAGAAAATTTTATTTAGACAACTCTTTGGCTCTGATATTACTGAGGCAGAAGGATTAAAGCCATGTAGAGCCCAGTACACAACTGAAAGCCCTGCTGGCTGCTGCACCGAGCAGGATCCACTTGGGTAGGAGAAAGTGCTTAGAGGAGCCACTTCACTGGCTACCCTCTCCCCACACTTCCTTGGAACAGAGAACATGGGGGGGGGGAAGGCTCAGCGTCCTTTCTCATCATCTTATATATTTGTAGTGGGGCATGAGAACCAGTGGTTTCCCAGCAGCAGCAACAGACTAACCAGGGTGGTGAGGGGATGGAAGACACTCACTGTAGGCTATGGGAACTTCATCCTACTCTGATGTCAACAGAGAATGCATGCAGCTCCAACACTGGCCAAAGCTCAAGAGCTGTGCTTCTCAAGATATCTGACATGGGGACTGTGGGGATTCTGCCAATCCCTTTGCTTCCACCAACTGTGAAGGCTTCTACCTATTCCTCTGTTGCCACCAAAAGTATGAGCTTTCCATTAGCTCCATTTCTGCCACCAAGGTAAGGGCCTCCACTTTGGCCACCAACTGTGAGGACCTCCTAGATCCTCTTGTGGTTCCCCTAATTTTATCTATCTTCTATTCCCCACCAGGTACCATCACTCTTTATTATCTGCTGCCACCACAGACACCATGTCTGAGTTCAGCTTTCCAATATGTAGTGTACTTGGAGGCAAAAGTGTATAATATAAAAATCTTGCCTTAATTTAAAAAAAAAATGGAACATAACATCATAGATTAATTATTCAATACATCTTAATCACCTCCCTCAGAGCCTTATCACATTACAAACAAACCCGGCAGGCAACATAAGAGAAGTGGATTTTTTTCTGTTTCTGTCTCCACATGATGTCAAAGCACATTCATTCTCTTCTGATTGTAAAAGCTTGGAAGAGGGTTGTAAAAACATCTCTTTTGCCAAACGGATTTTTCCAACTTGGCAAAAAGGATGCTTATTTGACGCCCTTTTTTGCTGCCTACTCAGTTTGTTTGTAATGAGATAACACCTTCATTCTCTCACACACTTATCTCCTGGCTAACTCTAATCCCCACTGCACAAGTGCGGGGCAGCCCAAAGTACCCTGCCTCCAAAGTTGCCCCGATCCTCACCTGTTACAAAGCCCACCATTCTGATGGCAGGTGGCTGACCACGGATCCCACTGAACTGCCTGGTGCATCAGCCACCATTGTAGAATGCTTTGCTCTGTGGTCAGAACAAGGCACCCAGTGATGGTCACATGGCTGCGTACCTCAATCTGACCTCAGAGGAAGTGACTGGTGGCGGAGGTGGATGGGCCAAGCAGATCAGCAGAACATATTTCAAAGAGCTGCCTGGCATGGGAACAGAGGGCTCCAGATCTTCCTGGAAAATCCAGAGCAGCTGGTGAGTTTTAAAACTCCAGGATAAGAGGGGTTATTCCTGCATCTGGTGCTGAGCAGGCTGGCCATTGTCCAGTCTGCTTGCACCAGAACCAAGCTTTGGACTATACATCATCCAACTTGTAACTCCCCTAGAGTACATGTACACTGTAGAAATAATGCCATTTGACACCACTTTAAATGCTGGATTTCCATCCTATAGAATCCTGGGATTTGTAGTCTATAAGGTCTTTAGCCTTCTCTGCCAAAGAGTGCTGGTGCCACACAAATAATAAAGTTTGATACTATTTTCACTCTCATGGCTCCATCCTACAGAATCCTGGGATTTGTAGTTTTGTATGGCACAAACGCTCTTCTGTTTCTTTCCAGCCCTTTTTACTTAAACAAACTTTTGGCAATTGTTGCAGTTCTTGTTGTATTTATTTTCATTGTTATATTTTAAATGTTTTAATTGGTTTTAAATTAACATTGTTCTTCAAAGTATTGTTAAAGATTTTTCAGCTGTTTTTTTTTAAACAATTATAATTGGCTTTTGTTTTTGTTGTAGTTTGTTTTAATTTATGCTATGAGCCCCCTTCCTTCCCAAACTGGGAGAAAGGTAGGATATAAATTAAACAAATATATAAGAGTTAAAATGCCTCATCCCTGTTCCATGTGGAAAGAGGATATACTCAACAGAGGTAACCACATCACTACTAGTTTGATCTTAAATTTTTGGTGTTCCCTAAAATTTTTGCTTGCTGACATATGAAACCCATTAATGTTTCTCTTGAAACGCCCCTAACTTTTTGAAATAATTTTAATCCAAAGAAGTATGGATATGAAACACTGGCATATTTTGCTTAAAGATTTTTTTACAGGCACAAAATGAAGGCCCTGTGTGCCTTTGAGTTTTTAAAATGGAGTAATGCTAAATGATAAAGTGCACCTTTAACTTAATGACAGTAATTCAGTTTCAGATGGCGAGTGCCATTATCCCTCCCCCTTAAGACTAGAACCAGTCATAATTTAAAGAACAATTATGATAATCCATATGTAATGAAGACTATTCTGAAACAAAAAAAAAAAAAACACGTCCCTTTTTGTTAGATGCATGTGTGTGCATATTTTCCCCATTACATAAATATAATAATACAATTTTTCTAAAAGTGAATATATGAATACTTCTCTTTCCTAAGCTGCTGTTTGCCTTTCAGGTTCAGGAACAAGCAATGACTGATCTTCCCTTAAGTTTAATTTGTATTTATGCATACAAGCCACCATCCTAAGGTACATACTATTAACTTCCCATCCAATTCAGCATCACCTCAATCCCCACAACAAAGCGTGACAAACAGGACAAGCAAGCACTGGAACCACATGATATTCTTCCTCCACCACCATTCAGTAAGGCCACACCTTGTGACTATAAAAGTAACTAAAAAGTTGGAAGTACACTGGAAAAGGTGTTAAGGAAAAAGCAACATGGGACATAAAGTAATAGAAATAAAAATA